CAGGAGGGGAACCATGGAAGCAATGAACAGGAGGGTGTAGCATTATGGTAATAGAAGTGGTATTTTGGCATGGTGAATATCAGAGCAGCAAGCCATCATGGGTTAAACCAGCAGATGGCATGCAATCACAATGCAAAGCAAGAAAGCGTGGCAGAGAAATAAAAAGGGAAATAGCTTATTACAAGTACAATTAAAGGAAGTTTGTCAACATAATCAGTGATTCCCAGAAAAAGCAAAATAACTTCTGATTGCTGGTATTATATTTAAGAATTTGACAAATTATTTTAAATTGGGCATCTATCAAAACAGCTTATCACTTTAAGTAAGAATTGTTCAATCAGTTGAAAAACTATTTTAAAGTAACTAAAACACATTAAAACATCCCTTAAGAAGTGAAATTTTTCATTTTTAGAATTGGGAAGGAAAGAAACCATTTATTATTTTTACATATATTAAAAATAATGTATTTTCATTTACCAGTATTATAGGTTAAAAGTATATTTGCAGCCTTGCTTTAAACATACATACAATTCTTATATTTTTGTTTCTGGATTTATGTTCTTTTGCCTCTCTATAACTGTTGGATTTTATTTGAGTTAAATTACCATCTGCTTTGATGCAAAAATCAGTGTTATAATTATTTTCCTGATTTAAATACTAATTTGTTTGATCTAAAAGAGCAAAGCAGATTGAGAACATTTATTTTTTGTTCAGTTTTAATTTAACGACAAATTTATCAACATGTGCAAAATTCACTCATGTGAGTAGCTGAAACTCAAGTGAGTAGTCCCATTAAAATCAATGGGACTACTCACTTGAATAAGAATTACTCACCTGAGTAACGGTCTGTTGCTAATTTTGCAAGCATAAAATATGTGCATTCAAATGCTGCAAATTTTAAAGTGGATTTGATTTAATTAAGAGGGAATGCGATTCAGACCTTAGGTCTCGAAGTACTTTCAGTTACAAGTATTAAAATAAATGCTTCTGGGAAACTCTGATAAAACTTTCTAACACACAGCAAAAAGGAGAAATAGGCACACCACTATGAAACTTCAAAACACTGATGAAATTAGCTTGCTTTACCAATATTTTATGATTTTAAAAATACTATAAAATATAAAATATATTGAGAGAAATACAATTTTGAAAACTGAAAAGCAGATTGGAATCCATGATTTTATGCATTTGCAGTGTGGTTGTTATAGCAGGTGATGTCACATCTAAACTGCAATTTTAACCTACAAACAAATCTAAGATCCTACAAAGTCAATCAAAAAGCCAAATGAACCTTTAAATCTAGTAATCAAGTCTTGTTTAAGATTTGCAAACAACTGAAGGTACAGTATACAATATAAAAGAGATCAATAAAGAAATTTAGAACCTACCAATACTGGTAGCGGGTGTCATGCACAAAACTGACCCTGCATGTCATGCAATGATAGGTGGAAAAAGTGAATAAAGGGAAGAAACAGGTTAGCTGTTTAGAGTTAACATTCAAACTGAGATTCAAGCATAACCAAGGATAAGCAGAAGTTAGCTGAACACAATCTTAAGGTCATTCATAGTTTTTGTGTTACAAGAGTGACGTTAAATAATTTTATACTAAAATATTATTACAGTATACCAATACATATTTTGTACATCTGTGTGTGTACTGAAGATGGACCAGATTTCATAAACACCTTTCATTTATTTTTTGCAGAAATAAGAATTTTTAAAAAAATTCTTGATTGAATATGGGATTATCTAATGGCTGCTTAAATCCATTCAACAATTCAGACAGCATTATGTTAGCTACAAAGATTAATGTTTATTAATTTTGCTCATACACAGCAGAGGAAAACATTTAATTCAATAAAAATTCTCTTATTATTCAATGGCGATTTTGTTAAATCTACGTTTAAATATTAACATACACATTTTTAATAACAAATTACTAATGTTATTTTTATCAACAAGAATGCTAATGGCAGCACTGGAAACGGAACCAATGCAGCATGGCTAGTGACTGTGCAACATTCCACATGATGTCCTGCCAATGTGCCTCAAAAGTACTCTGGGTGGGGGTGGGGAGGCCTCTGTACAGCTGAGTTCAGTTTTTGTGCTCATTCAGCTGTTATCCTTTCTGCTAAAGCGAATGAAAAAGGATAGGGGTTTTTAGGATGGTGAGTACAGTGCGTAGTGGGGAGAAGGTGGAGGGTAGAGGAAGAGGAACAAAGTGGCATGTACATAACACATTATGCTACTACTACATATTCAGCACATAAAATAGATTTAAATTTGCAGAACTCCTGTTTGGTGATGTTAACAACCTTTTATGTATTTATTTATTTAACAGCAAAAATAACTATGAATGACCTTATCATGAAGAATAACCCTCACACACTTTCCCCTCTTTCAGTGGTCATAAAAGTTCTAATAAACAGCATTTGAAGGAAAACACTACCCTCTTGCTTTTCAGATCATAAATAACCATTCACCAAACAATAAAAAGTGTGGATGAAGTAGTCATACTGATTTAGTGTGTGTTTTGTATTAAAAGAGAACTACAGTGCAAAAAAATCTAAGATAAGCAGTGCTATGAAGCCCCAAACCATTAATTAGGAAGTCATTGGTTAGAAAAGGCAGAGAAATTATATAAAACAACGTATCAGTTTTCCATATATTTTATAAGCAAAACCTGGTTCTAACTGTAACATTTCTACCGAACACATAGGACATATTTAAAATTGATACTAGTTCAGGAAATATTGGTTTACCATTTTAAACCAAAGAATTAATTGCATGCACAGTTCTTCATAGGGTGTGCAATATTTATAGCCATAGCCCCACATGGGAAGGTGTAGATGTACTTAGAGCCAAGTTCCAGAACACACAGTTCCTCCTGAACTCCCTGAGAGTGCAACAACTGTAGGAGCAACATGCACTGTCTTCTATGAAAGGCCCATTCTACCGGCCAGTGGAAAGGGTGTGCACCATAGCTCACGTAGGGTGACCAGATGCCCTGATTTTATAGGGACAGTCACGATTTTTGTGACTTTTCCTATATAGGCTCCTATTACCCCTTCCTGTCCCGATTTTTCACACTTGCTGTCTGGTCACCTTAAGCTCACGTCCTCATCCCCCACCCCTCTTTACAGATACTAGTGATGCCAGACCTTCTGAATTCTCCTGCTCACTATGAGAACCTCTCCCATTGTGGCCTGGCTCATGTGCTGGGTCTCCTGGAGATGAGAGGCTCTTTGCACCTTTTCTCTTTTTTGTGCACCTGTGCTGGGACTGGACGACAATCTGGCCCCTTAAGAGTTTGGCAAAAAGGCCCACATCCTTTTATATCATGAATTTATAATAAACAAACTGTCACTCAATTCTGAGCTAATTTTGTACTGGTGGTTATGATGACTCCAGGGTTAACCCAAAATGTAAATTGAAGAGAAACAGCACATGGAATAAAGTACTTGAGGAAAGATAAGCATCTAAATCAAATATTTGAAGTGCTATCTTATTGAAGTATTTTCAAACTAGCTTATTTTTCAGGATTATTTTAATGCATTTTACTGTAATTGTATACAATAGTGATAAGCTCTGAAAGGTAGTGCTTATGAGGAGGAACAATGCACACCCCACCACAAGTTCTTATGGCTGTGATGTGAAGTACATTTGCAGGGGGACTTGGACATTTGTAAGCACTGGATGCTCTTTCATTTCTCAAATTCCTTCAAACCTTCCCACGGATGTTAGCACATTTTCCTGCACATTTCCATTATAGTCACAAGTTACAAAATGGTCATGGGATCTCAATGAAAATTACACAAGATTTTGGGATATTTTCAAAATTAAAGTGAGTCAATATGTAAAACAAGTGCATAAAATAAATGTTTAGAACATATTTTGACAAATATAGGGCCAAATGCTGAGATCTTTACTAAGTTTTTACATACTTCTTATTCAGGCAAACTTTACTGAGTTCATATGATTTTTGTTTTATTTTTAAAAGATTATTGTAAAGCTATGTAATAAGAAATTACAGCAGCTTGAATTCTTTCACTTGTTTAATTCATACTATTATTAGATGGTTAAAAATATGATAAAAGATAAGCAAATATATTCAAAAATAGAAAATATATTTACTACAGAAAAGTGTTTTAAATCAGCCTAAAAATTCATGGTCGATATACATACTAATACTGAAACTGCACTCTTTAAGCACTATTCGGGGTATTTACTTTTAGATACTTCTCTTTTTGAATAATATAGAGGATTTTATTGCAAGTTCACTTCATTCATAAATCAGACATTTAAGTAGAATATTCTCCCTTCTTTCACAGTGTTAAAAGAAAGTCTCCACGCCACACGTATGAGCTCAAGATGTTAGGTCTGATGGGGCTGTAGATTTTTCCAAATGACATGGTCTACAGCTCTGAACAACAATGGAATATTCATGTTACTAAAATTCCACTGTAGTTAAATCACTTATATTAAGAATTAAAACACCAGCTATTAACTGCAAAATCTGGGGAGAGTTTTGGATTATAAAATATTCCATTATGAAGACAACGAAACCAGTTTCCCACGTTAAACAGTTCTATGCAGACGGGGACTGTTTTATCCCCATAGTGCATCTGTGCAGGAATTAACTATAATTTGGCTGCTAGCACTGCTGGTCTAGAAGGCAAGGGTACTGTGTAGCAGGAGTATGTCTGGCTACAGAACTGTAATGGTGGCAGTACAAAATACACCAGAAGAACAGGGATAGATATTACCAATACTTTTCACACTTCCCATCGTATCACAGAAGCATTATGCCTTTTCCAACAAGTTAATGACACTCCTCCTCCCCACCAGCAAACACAGTTCTGGTTGATGGACCCAACATGCAACCCACTTAATATAGATATAAAGTACTCTGACATATGCAAAATAAGGACAATAACAGAAAATACTAAAAGCTAGTTAATGACACGATAAAATTACCTCCTGAATCCTAATATTCTGCAGAAGGAATTAAAATAGTGTATTAAAATATTTGTGCATACTTGTCACGAATGTGTAGAGAATGGATTACACATTTAAAAGTATATTCAATGTGATAAGCACTGTCTTATGGGGAGAATGCTTAAATAGGATTCTGTTTAGTGCAAATACAACATACCTGTTGGGATAAATGCTGCATGTTGTTGCAACTGTGCATTGGCAAGAGCCTGTTGATAGTGCAAGACACTGGGATTAAAAATGGCACTGGCACCATTACTTTTTTCAAGTGCTTGTCTCTTTGGTAAAGGGTGAAGAACGCCAGGAGGAAAGGCCTGTAAAAAAAGGAGAATTTAATTAAATTTGCAGATTTTTCAAAATATATACATATTTTCTAATATATATATGAATAAAATATTGTAATATACTTTTAAAAAAAGCAGTTAAAGATGCCTTGCCATGCACCTTAACTCAAATAATAGCAATGTAAAATGAGTGAAATTTTGTTGTTGATCGCAAAAGCATGGTACTATTAACATAAAACTGTAGCACCACAACTACTGAAAAGGAAGGCCTTTAAAGCAACAAAAGTGGCATTTCCATTAAATTTGGGCTTAAAATATTCTAGGAAGAAAAAACCACTTGTGTTTCATTATCAAGTATTCTTTCTTAGTTAAATATTTTTCCTATTATTAAATACAGTGAGGGATTACAGTATTTTCAATTATAAAAGCAGTTATATCTAATTTTAACTTCTATGAAAAGGTATTTTAAAATGAAATCATGTTAGGAAAAAAACTAAATTGTTTGCATTTATTGCATATGAGTATGAGATGGATAAATATAATACTGATTTTTTTCTAAATTAATAATATATGATAGTTTTCAGTTGATGTTAAAAAAAAGCAATACAAATTTCATTAGTTGCTTTTCTGAAAAGCTACATGCAAAGCAAAAGGTGAAAGGTCAAAGTACCAGGTCTACAGTTGCTTCGAGAGGCCGCTTCATTGCTTTGGCAGTCGACTGAGTCTTTTAATAACAGGCAGCGAGCACATGATGGCAGTGGGCCAATGGGATTCAAGCGAATTAACATACAGGTAAACAGCAAGCAGAGGTGCATCATGGGAACGGCATTGCATTGTGGATAGGTGAGAAGGAAAAAAATATTCTGAATGCAGTATACAACATACAAAACACTAGGCATGCACAACAACAAAAATGTTTTCTAAAGAAATGAATATTACACCTTGAATTAGTACTGAAGCAAAAATGCATCTACTATACCTTAGTTAAAAGCATATAAGAGAGTAAAATATAGATGTTTGAAATTTAGGAAAGTTAATTAAAACAGCAGCTTGCAGACACCATTAAGCATATTATAACACTTCACAGAAACATATCGGTTTTCAGGATTTTCTTATAAGAATTTCTGATAAGTTAGTTATGTCAAGTTAAAAAGCATAAAATAAATGTTCAACACTAACAATTAAAATATAAAGCACTAATGAGAGTTTTAATGCTTTAATAGAATTACTCACGTGTATGTTTGCTGGATCAGGGCCTTAGTTAATAAAATGTACATTTCAATAGACTTTGGGGTCAAAATATAAACAGTTTTCTTATTTCCAATATATAACAAATTAATGTTATGTCTAATCACTAACTTATCAGTTTAATATTTTTTACTATAGCTGGGACAGTAACTTGGATTATCCTTTTTAACTTATCACATTACACTGAGAAAAAGCCCTACATTTTTAAACAAATATTTTCTCAGATGTCATTCAGGAAAATCTATTCTAACTTTAAAAAGCAACAGAGGGTCCTGTGGCACCTTTAAGACTAACAGAAGTATTGGGAGCATAAGCTTTCGTGGGTAAGAACCTCACTTCTTCAGATGCATGGCTACCCCTCTGATACTATTCTAACTTTAGGAATAGGTGATAGAAAACAATATTATTTGTCAATAAGAGCATGTAATTTATGGTTAGAACAGGAATCACAGTGCATCATTTAAAAATATTTAAATGTAAAACAATATTTAACATGAGCATAGTTTTATTGTCTATATTTGCAGTAAGAGATAAAACATGAGGGCTAATTTGGCTACATTCCAGCAGAAAAATCTAGTTGATCTTTTTCATCTATAACTCTTTTTTAATGGGAATTTTAAAAGAGTTTAATGAAAACATATGGAAAGGAGGGTTTCCTTATAAATCAGAAATCTTTTTTTTGCACTTACAATAGGTAGCTCCTCAAAGTCCATAGGATAAATTAATATTCAGACTGTTTCTATCCTTAACTTCAGATGTATAAAAGTAGAACAATAATTAAAAAGGGAGGACAAGGTACTGAGAGCACCATGTCTAAGACAACTTAGGGTCACAGAACTTAGGCCAATGACAACATGAACATTTTGCAGGATAGCCCTTGCTTCACAATCCATCATCTTGCACAATCCATATTTCTGTCTCTCCAATTATCACCTGGTATCTTTCCTTATATCTTTGCATCCAAAGTCCTTAAGCACGTCCTCTATTCCTGAAGTCTCGACATCTTCTCCTCTAGCTTCTTCCTAGATTCTACACCCTCCACTCTATGAGATCTGCTCTATCAAGGTCATTAATGATCAGGAAAGGAGGGTCCAGTGATCAGAGAACTAGCCTGTGCTGTGGGAGACCCAGATTCAATAAGATCTACCACAAACTTCCTTTGTGACCTTGGGCAAGTCACTTCTGTGGCAGTCCTCACCAGTGGGGTGTAAGTTCTAGTCTGCACCAGCACGTCTGTGTGGAGCCTGCTGATGGGCACTAAACACTCCCTAGTGCGTGTTAATGTAGTACCATTTGAAACGGGACTGTGTTAACACACACCAAGGAACTTTTAGCGTGCACAAACAGTGTTCACCCTGGCCAGTTAGTGCACAACATACTGGTGCAGACTAGAATTTACACCCCACTGGTGAGGACTAACACACCATGCAGATGAACCCTTAGTCTTTCTCTGCTTTGCCTCCCCAACTGTAAAACAGGGATAATAGCACTTCCTTACCTCACAGCACAGTTGTGGGGATAAATATGTTGACAAGTTTGTGAGGCACTCAGATATAGTATAGTATAGATAAAAAAATATACTATAGTAATGGGGGCCATATATGTACAAGAGTAAGATAGATAGGCCAGATCTAAGGGTTTTCTGTTTATTTTCACCCACCTTGACCTGCTATCTTTGAAAAAAGCTGATCACTCCCTCCTCTCTCCCTTCGGTAAAATATCTAACAATGCCCATCCATCTTTTCACAGTATTCTGAGATCACTATGGACGAAAAACTATATGAGTTTGAAATATTATGGCTGGATTCAATTATGGAAGGTGATGAACACTGTAAACTCCCATTTAACTGACGACCCCTCTACTATCAAATTTCTGTACCCCTTTTAAGTACTTGTAAACTGATCAAATCACCCTCAACCTTCTCTTTGTTAAACCAAATAGATTGAGCTCCCTGAGTCTTTCACTGTAAGGCCGGTTTTTTTAATCCTTTATTCGTTCTCGTGGCTCTCTGAACCTTCTCCAATTTATCAACATTGTTTTTGAATTGTGGACACCAAAACTGGACATAATAGTCTAACAGCAGTCGCACCGGTGCCAAATACAAAGGTAACAGAACCAAGGATTGCAATAGCCCTTTTGGCCACGGTGTCACACTGGAAGTTCACGCTGAGCTGATTCACAACTTTGCATCGGTCTTGCGTACATCTCAACCTGTTTGCGCCATTGCAAACTCCCTTCTTTGAATCCTTTTACGGGCTTTTCCCTCCCCTTCCAGATCAAGTCAAGCTCCTAGTGCTCAATTTCAAGGTTCTATAGTAGCAATGTCTCTACCTATAAGGCAGCTCTTGTTTCCTCCTTGTCTCCCCTTCCCACCATGCCTTCGGCTTCACTGTCCACTTCTTCCTCATATCTTCACAACCTTCTTCCCTTTCACTCCTATGCTTGAAGCCTTGTTCACCAAAGAACCTCCCTCTCACTAGTCAAACCCCTTTATAAAACATATTTCTTCCACCAGCCCTTTCCATGATAACCAACCATTGGAGAGGAACAGAAGGAGAGAGGTGAGAGAAAGAAAACAAATAAAATTAACTTGCTGTATAAAGGCTCTATATTTTACCGATCACATATACTTTTATGTATACTATTATGAGGTGTGTTTAAGGTATGGTGAATATTTAATTTAATTTAGATTTTGTGTTCCTCAATGTCTTCTTTCACATTTCTTACCGCACTGAGCACACTTTTAGTGCTCCATAAATACTGTAATGATTATATTAATGGATCACACGGTCTTCAAATTCACTTCACAAAGCACAATAACAACAAAACACTGGTTTTCAGCTATAAATGATCTGGGCTGTGGCTATTTCACAGACTGCCCATCTCCTTGCTTCTACCTCAAAAGCTGAGATCAGCTAAGGCAGGGGTGGGAAAACTACGACCCACGGGCCACAACCGGCCCTCCAGCCAATTTAATCCGGCCCTCGAGCTCCCGCTGGGGAGTGGGGTCTGGGGCTTGCCCTGCTCCCACGCTCCAGACGGGGAGCGGTGTAGGAGGCTGCTCCGCGTGCATGCCAAGGCTCCTGGAAGCAGCAGCATGTTCCCCCTCTGGCTCCTACGTTTAGGGTCAGCCAGGGAGCTCCGCTGTCCCCACCCCAAGCGCCAACCCTCAGCTCCCATTGGCCGGGAATTGCGGCTAATGGGAGCTGCAGGGGTGGCGCCTGCGGACAGGGCAGCGCACAGAGCTGCCTGGCCGCACCTCCGCATAGGAGCCGGAGTGGGGACATGCCACTGCTTCCAGGAACTGCTTGAAGAAAGCGCCGCCTGGAGCTGCACCCCTGACCGCTTCCCGTGCCCCAACCTCCTGCCCCAGCCCTGATCCCCTCCCGCACCCCAACCTCCTGCCCCAGCCAGGAGCCCCCTCACGTACCCTGAACTCCTCATTTCTGGCTCCTCCCCTGAGCCCGGACCCCCAGCCAGAGCCCTCACCCCCCCTGTGCCCCAACCCCTGGCCCCAGCCTGGAGCCTCCTCCTACATCCCAAATCTCTCATCCCCAGTCCCACCCCAGAGCCTGCACCTCCAACCCTCCCCTCCCGCACTCCAACCCCCAGCCAGGAGCCCCCTCCTGCACCCTGAACTCCTCATTTCTGGCCCCCTCCAGAGCCCACACCCCCAGCCAGAGCCATCGCCCCCCTCCTGCACCCCAACCCCAATTTCGTGAGCATTCATGGCCCACCATACAATTTCCATACCCAGATGTGGCCCTCGGGCCAAAAAGTCTGCCCACCCCTGAGCTAAGGCATTTGAGGAAAAGTTACTAGGTTTAAATGTCAGGGGCTAGAGGTAGGGTATTCCTTAAGGAATCTTGAACCCTGGAATTCACTGACCCCCTTGGTCTGGCTGGGATTCTTTTCTGGAGGCACAGCACCGAAGATGCACCCTGAGGGAGTGGGGACAAAGGTGACTTTATCTCACCTTAACTCTATTTTATGGTGGCCCTAGAGTAGTGGTCACCAACTGGTCGATCAAGTTCAACTGGTCGATTCTGGGGACTCTCACAGTCAATCATGATCTCCGGCAGTGCTGCTGGACTGCCACTAAGGCAGGTTCCCTGCCTGCCGCGGCCCCACGCAGCTCCCGGAAGTGGCCAGCATAGCCCTGTGGGGGCGGGGAGGAGAAGGGCGGGCAGGGGTCTCAGCATGCTGCTCCTGTCTGAAAGCACCCACCCCTGCAGTGCCCATTGTCCGGGAACGGGGAACTGTGGCCAATGGGAGCTGAGAGGGCCATGCCGGCAGAAAGGGGCAGTGGGCGGAGCCACATCCTCCCCCGCTCAGTCCCCAGGCCAGAGGGGCACATTGTCCCCTTCCAGGAGTGGTGTGGGGACGGGGCGGGCAGGGAGCCTGCCTTAGCTTCGCTGCGCCACCAACCGGGAGCCACCCGAGGTAAGTGCCACCCGGTGGGAGGCCGCCCCCCAACCCCCTCCCGGAGCCAGCACCCCATGCCCCCTCCTGTACCCCGAGCCCCAGCCCTGAGCCCCCTCCCAGGGCCAGCACCCCAAACCCTCTCCAGGATCCCAACCCCGTGCCCCAGCCCTGACCTCCCTCTCAGAGCCAGAACCTCATACCCCTCCTGCACCCCTGCCCCAGCCCTGACCCCCATTACAGAGCCAGCATGCCGCACCCACTCCTGCACCCCAACACTCTGCTCCAGCCTGGAGCCCCCTTCCTGCACCCAAACTCCCTCCCAGAGCTTGCACCGCTCACTCCCTGCTGGATCCCAACCTCCTGTCCCAGGCTCATCCTGGAGCCCCCTCCCACACTGTGAACCCCTCGGCCCCAGCACAGAGCCCAAACCCCCTCCCCAACCCCAACTCCCACCCCCTTCCCAAGCCCGGTGAAAGTGAGTGACGGTGGGGGAGAGTGAGTGATGGGGGGTAGGGAGTGGGTGGAGTGAGCAGCGCAGGGCCTCGGGGAAGGGGCAGGGTAGATTCTGGGTTTCACTTAAATTCAAAAAGTGATCTTAGGCATAAAAAGGTTGGAGACCACTGTCCTAGGGCTACTTTTATGCTGCTAAATAGCCCACACAAGCTAAGATTCTTTGTAGCAGGGTCTGCTCCTGGGACTTCCTTCCTGTCCCAGGCATGCCCTCAGCCCTGGGGCTCATGAAGGGGCCTACACAGGGTTTCACCTATAACACAGTAAGATTTTTTGGCTCTCAAGGACAGTGTTATATCGAGGTAGAGGTGTATATTTTATAAGCAACCACTTTTTCCCATACACTCAAATATTATTTATTTGTCTCAATGGAGAATTGATCCCATTTATTTATTTTGAACCATGGTTTCCCTTTGTTTCGGGTTTGCATTAAATAAAAATAAATGGGATGAAAAAAAGCTTATTTTGTCTACTCTTGGGAGTTTAAATATCCAATTAAAGGCCATCTATAACATTTTCCACAGGAATAATACACCAACATGTGGCTTTCAGCCTTCTACTCCTTTGGTGGTATAATGCTAGTCATTCAAAATTGTGTTTCAAAAGACTCTTCCTCTTGATCTCTGTCTTGAATGTGGCTTATTTCAGTAAAAGGAAGCATATCTTAGAACTAGTTTGGCTCAGAAAAATACGTTGTTTATGTTTTTATTAGGGCTGTCAAGCAATTAAAAAAATTAATCGTGATTAATCGCACTACTAAACAATAACAGAATACCATTTATTTAAATATTTTTGGATGTTTTCTACATTTTCAAATACATTGATTTCATTACAACACAGAATACAAAATGTACAGTGCTCACTTCATATTTATTTTTGATTCCAAGTATTTGCACTGTAAGAAAACAAAAGAAATAGTATTTTTCAATTCACCTAATACAAGTACTGTAGTGCAATCTCTTTATCATAAAAGTTGAACTTACAAATGTAGAATTATGTGCAAAAAAACGTGCATTCAAAAATAAAACAATGTAAAATTTTAGACCCTGCAAGTCCCCTCAGTCCTACTCCTTGTTCAGCCAATTGCTCAGACAAACAAACTTGTTTACATTTGCAGGAGATAACGCTGCCTGCTTCTCGTTTACAATGTCACCTGAAAGTGAGAACAGGCATTCTCATGGTACTGTTGTAGCTGGTGTCGCAAGATATTTATGTGCCAGATATGCTAAAGATTCATATGTCCCTTCATGCTTCAACCACCATTCCAGGGAACATGGGTCCATGTTGATGACTGGTTCTGCTCGATAACAATCCAAAGCAGCGCAGACTGACTCACGTTCATTTTCATTTTCTGAGTCAGATGCTACCAGAAGAAGGTTGATTTCCTTTTTTTGTGATTTGGGTTTTGTAATTTCCGCATTGGAGAGTTGCTCTTTTAAGACTTCTGAAAGCATGCTCCACACGTTGTCCCTCTCAGATTTTGGAAGGCACTTCAGATTCTTAAACCTTGGGTTGAGTGCTGTAGCTATCTTTAGAAATCTCACATTGGTACCTTCTTTGCGTTTTGTGAAATCTGCAGTGCAAGTGTTCTTAAAATGAACAACATGTGCTGGGTCATCATCCAAGACTGCTATAACATGAAACATATGGCAGAATGCGGGTAAAACAGAGCAGGGGACATACAATTCTCCCCCAAGGAGTTCAGTCACAAAAAAATAATGCGTTAATTGAATTTAACGAGTGTCATCAGCATGGAAGCATGTCCTCTGGAATGGTGGCCGAAGCATGAAGGGGCATACGAATGTTTACCATATCTGGCACGTAAATACCTTGCAATGCCAGCGACAAAAGTGCCATGCAAATGCCTGCTCTCACTTTGTGGTGACATTGTAAGTAAGAAGAGGGCAGCATTATTTCCCGTAAATGTAAACAAACTTGTTTGTCTTAGCAATTGGCTGAACAAGAAGTAGGGCTGAATGGACTTATTTATAGGCTCTGAAGTTTCACATTGCTTTGGTTTTGAGTGCAGTTAAGTAACAAAAAAAATCTACATTTCTAAATTGCACTTTCACGACAAAGATATTGCACTACAGAACTTGTATTAGGTGAATTGAAAAATACTATTTTTTTGTGTATCATTTTTACAGTGCAAATATTTGTAATAAAAAATACACATTTTGATTTCAATTACAACACAGAATACAAAATATATGAAAATATAGAAAAACATCCAAAATATTTAATAAATTTCAATTGGTATTCTACTGTTTAACAGTGCGATTAAAACTGCGATTAATCGCAATTAATTTTTTTAATCACAATTCTTTTTTTTTGAGTTAATCGCGTGAGATAACTGCTATTAATCGACAGGCCTAGTTTTTATATCTAGAAGTGATGAATTTTGCGTGATTGAAGGACTGATACTGGATCTGGATAAAATTTATTTTAATTTATTAGCCAAAAATGCAATTTGGGTCAACCTGAAACTATTCATGAATTTGACCTGGTTCATTTTGGCTGGGAAAAAGATTTCAGGGTCAGTTTCAGAAAGAATGCATGTGTTTGTCCATGTGTCCCTCACAACCTTTAGTCCAGTATTTAGGGCATTTGCAAGGCAGGTGAGAGACCAAGATTTGAACTGCCATTCTGGAGCAGGGATTTCTACACAAGTCTCCTTCCTGGCCAAGTGAGTTCCCTAACCACCAGGCTATAGACTATTGTGGATGGGTTGCTCTCAATCTCTCTTGTTAAAGCTGTTCCACTTTGTATAAATACTTACATTTTCCGTGGGACAAAGTGAGATACTGAACTTGACTCTATAGTCTGGTTATTAAGGCAATTACCTGGGAGATAAGAGACATGGATGCAAATCTTCTCTCTGCCTGATTCAGAGGAGGGAACTGAATTTTTTGGACTCAAATCTAATATTTTTTCTGATTTTTTGGTTTGCTGGGCATTCTGCGTTCCCCCATCACAACCCCAAAAATCAGTCATCTGCCCTGCTCTAATTGTTACAGCAAAAATCTCAGATATTCACTCTTTTTTTATTTCCAGACAAGGCTGGCTCCAGGCACCAGCTTAACAAGCAGGTGCTTGGGGCGGCCAAGGGAGAGGGGCGGCACCTGCGGCAATTCGGGGGCGGCAGGTCCCTCACTCCCTCTAGGAGCGAAGGACCTGCCACTGAACTGCCAACGCTGATCGCGGCTTTTTTTTTCGCTTCGGGCGGCAGAAATGCTGGAGCCGGCCCTGTTTCCAGATCAGTCCTCAGCTTCTGTGAGCACAGAGAAGGTTTAGCTAAAATTCCTATATTTTAAATAGAGACTGGAAATACTGTATGAGAAAATACTGAATTAGGGAATATTCTCCTCTGTTCTTTTCCTTCTGTTTGGAGATTTAAATTCTTTCACAGTTGCCACATTTGAAAGAAACTCACTCTTTGTCCCCTAAATGTCTGGTCTCTATTTATTTGCTAAATACAATACCTTGTAATAGTTATATACTGTAATGTATTGTGTTTCTGGTAGGCTTCTTACTCTAAAAGTAACTGTATTGTCTACATCTATTGTATGCACTACCCACAAGTCACATCTGTATAATTATCCTTTCAGTGCCAGGAATTAGGACAATGCTGCTTTGATCCGTGGGCTGACTATACTGCTGTCCCCTGAATAAAACCTTGCATGCTTTATTTGTTCAACTCTATCAATACTGGTGTAGAACTGTTGCTAGTAACAGTATCAGCCATTCTGCAAAAGGACACTGAGGGAAAGACATCTCTAAATATGTTTCAGTAATAGTATAAAACTTCTGAAAACAAATCAGATCCTTTAACTTCTTTCGTTTGACCTTACTAGATACAGTTTCATTCTTTTTATTTATAGGCATTATTATGGCATTCCCAGATATACAAGCTGGATGTCTGAAAATATTAATGAATTAAGCTTCACAATTAAGCTCCTTATTTCCATTTTACTAATGGGGAAACTGAGTCACGGGGCAATTAAAAATGACCACTAAGTTCTACCAGTTTTATTTCTCATCAAGATATATTAGGAGGCAAATTTGGCATATCATCATGGAGCAGAGAGCAAAGATAGTACAAAGTGTCTAACTGCTTCATTCTATTCAAAAAAAGGAACCTATTATGCTGAAATAACTGAGGGAGGGAGAAAGTATTTTTCCCTAAAGAAAGTAATACTTTTTAGAATTCCTAGCTTTTAAGATGTATGTGTGAAAATCAATAGTTTAAACAACACTACTAATTGGAGAAAAACAACAACTGATAAGTTTATGAAAAATTTAACCATACAGTTTTGCACTTACCATCACTGTAGCAGCTGCAGCAGCTGCTTGAGCTGCCACTGCAGCCTGGTTGGCTTGATGTTGAGCAGCTTTGATTTTGGCCTGCAAATGTGCAGGAGGGTGAAAATATTTGCATTTCTCCCTCATGCAACGCCCCTTTATGTAATCCATACAAACGGTTACAGTGTTGTCATTTGTATCAATCATTGTGCTATCTGCAGGATGTGCAAAGCGGCAGTCAGTCTCTCCCCGCGCGCAGTTTCCTCGCTGGAATTCCCTGCATACCTATGTGCAAAACAACACTAATTACAGCTGATGGACTCAACAATCTTAACTGGGAAAAACAAAACAAAAAACCACATACACAGCTCATTCTTTATTGTGTTTTAGACTTGTCCCACAGTGTTTGCAACAGTTCTTTAAATGTTTGTTAAATATGTTTACCTGCTCTTAATTAAGTTGCAATTAATATAGCTGTGTTGTTTGATAATAAGTTGAACTTACATAGAACTGTGTCATTTCAAAAAATCTATTCTTGCTCACCAACATAAAATCCCTATGAATATTGCTCAGTGTTTGTCAATTAACTGCTCCTGTGGACCCAGTTACTTTCTCTATGAAGAAATTCATAATGACAAAGCTGTAGTTTAAAATCTTTTGTTAACTTCGACGTTGACTAGGCATATTAAATTTGAGCAATCAACTTTAGAACACATTCATTGAATTTTTATCCAAACCATATTAAAAAAAATTACAACACTAAAACAATGGCACCATTTCCACTGAGCGCAAGTGTAAATCCTACAAGAGTACTTATGAGGTCTATATTTTAATAACTAAGGTTTAGGCTCTATTAGAGAGCGCTTCTAAGGACAACAAAGCTCGTCAAAGCTTTTACATATAAATTAGCAGAAAATTATATTTCTAGTCACAATGGTGTCTGTAGTACCTCCAGTTTATCAGTCCTCAAGAGTTTCTGAGTAGCAGTCGAACCAGGAACTGTGACAGGGGGACTTCCAGGAACAATGACAGGCGGTGTGGGTAGTATTTCAGTAGGAACTAATCCAACTCCAGGGGTTACAGGTGTTAAGTAAGGAGCAAAGCTAATAGCTGTGTTCGTTCCTATTGTTGGACCCACTGGAAAGGTGGGCTGCAAAATGAAAACACAGTGAGATGAAAGATAAATAGGTAACCTTACATTGAAACAATTTTTTTAAAAGTTCGCAGATCCTATTTGATGTCTTTTGTACGTTTTCCCTAGTTTTGATTCATTTTCTTAATCAGAATTTAAAAGAGTTGACAACATTACATTTACACTGCATATCTTCTTCTCCTGAACATGGAATACAGCGGTTCTGAAACTGGGGTCTGCGGACACGAGTCATGTCCAGGGCTGACGGCCCCACTGATCAATTCCTCCCCCTCCCTCCCAGTTCCTCCTGCACACCATGGATCAGCTGTTCAGCATCATGCAGGAGGCGCTGGAAAGGAAAGGGAGGAGTGGGAACAGGGCACGCTCGGGAGAGGGAGCAGAAAGAGGAGGGGCAAGGCTGGAGCGGGAAGAGGTGGGGTGGGAATGGGGCCTTGGGGGAAGGGGTGGAGTGGGGACAGGGTCTGAGGATGAGCGGAGGTTGAGCATCCCCGGGGAAAATTAGAAGCCAGTTGGGGCGGGGGGGGGAGGGCACAACATTTTTTAAATCAAAATGGGGGTCCTCAGGTTGCTAAAGTTTGAGAATCGCTGATGTAATACATTCCAGTAAAGGACAGGAACAGCATTTTGCAGTCATATTATGAGAAAAGGGGTTCTCA